GTAGGTTATAAGTCGGGTGGTGAGAGCTCATGGCGCTAGTGGCTACAGACATGGGTTTCATGTTGCTGAGGCCTAGAACTTACAGGGTTTGGGGGTTTGGAAGTGCTTAGAGTAATGCGGTTTTGGCTTGGAGGTACAGCTAGCTAGCAAGAGAGAGAGAGAGAGAGAGAGAGAGACAGAGAGAGAGGTTAAGTTTGGGCATTAGCTTGATAGTCACAGCAGAAACAGTGGACAACTAGTAGGAATAATGTAGGAAGAAGGCCATTCTCCTAAACCTTAAACCCTAAACTCAAAACCTAACAATCCCGTTCCACTGATCGTTTCAGGCCGTTCGGGCAGCGAACATCCTATAACAAAAACACATTCTTAAGATCAAGGGTGTCAGGTCGGAGGGCCAGGGTTCAGGGTTTTGAGGCTTTTGGGGGTTAGGGTGTAGGGGTTTAGGGTTTTAGGGTTTAGGGCTTTAGGGCTTTAGGGCTTTGGGGTTTAGAGGCTTTAGGGGTTAGGGTGTAGGGGTGTTGGGTTTTAGGGTTTAGGGCTTTGGGGCTTTAGGGTTTTAGGGTTTAGGGTAGTCTAGGGTTTTAGGGTGTAGGCTTTAGGGTTTAGGGTTTTAGGGGCTCAGGGTTTGACTGAAAGTAGTTTGCGAGCTGTTTGGACTCAAAATTTTCCATCTGACAGCCCATTGGGGGTTATTCTGCTCTACAATAGATGCAAAGTAGTTCCCAAGGAAACCTCAGCTATTTTGGTTTGCGGTTGGGTTCCTGGTCTTTGGGGGGGGGACATTCTGCTTCAGGCTGACGACTTCACGGTGTGGGGATGTCGAAGATTCAAATCTTCTTATTCAAAGCCCAGGCAAGGCTTACGTTTAGGGTATACGGTTTAGGGTGTAAGGTTTCAGATTGAATTCGTCCGCTTTGCGGCCAGAAGGTGGAACCGTCACTGGCAACACCCGAAGGGCTTTCCGGAAGCCAGAACAATCAACCCTAGAGAAAACCCTGTAGCCCTAAAGCTCAAGTCCTAAACCACTACTTCCCAAACTCAAGCCCGACCCCTCAATCCATAACACCCTGCCACTTCGCGTATGACCAGAACAGTGACTATTGGGTTTAGGGTTTCGGGCACCGGGCACCACAACGAGCAAATCGTCCCGCTAGTGTCAAAGCTTCGGGGCATGTGAACCGGCCATCTCGAGAATCACCGTGTCCTATGGCATCCAGCAACTGTTGTAAGTGTCGCATTACTTTATCGCGGCGTCATGCAACCCGAAACTCCAAAGCGAATCCGACAGAAACGCTTACCACTTTTCTCCTTAAGTTCTTTCATTTTGGGTGCACTTCGAAGACGAACTTGCCAAAAGAAAGCACCTGTAGTCATTGACGTCACGCACGATGGCTTCGGGCGCATAGTGCGGATACTCCGCAGCATTCCTGGGACAGGAGTCGAGGCCACTAAACCCTAGACCAGACTTTAGAATGTAGTACGGTTTAGGGTTTAGGGCTTATAGGGTTTAGGGCTTAGGGTTTAGGGTTGTGCCTGTTCCAGAGGATCTGATTTATGGTTCGGTTAGCATCCGACAATCAACTAAAGCAATCAAAACCAGGTACGAAAACCCGACACCGCGAGCAACACAGCCTTATCGGCCATAGGCTTCGGAGATTAGCTTTGAATCGCTGTACTTAACATGGTTAGGGCTTAGGTCTACAAGTCTACCAAAGCTCGAAAACACATGTTCTCTTCAGCTCAGTTGCAAGATCTTTTCATGTATTCCCATGAAGAGGTAGGTTTTGGAAGTGGAGGTGGGGTCTAGGGCTTCCAGTTAGGTATGGATAGGAAACTGACTCTCCAGGTTGCTGATGTGCCAGTCAAACCCCCTAATTAAACCGATGACTATAAGCCTCCTATACCCTAAACCCTAAACCCTAAAAGCCCCAACCTCCAGGGTTTAGGGTTTAGGATTTGGAAATGCCTAAACCCAGAACAGGAAACCCCATGCCCGGGTTTAGGGGTTTAGGGTTTAAGGCTTAGGGGTTAGGGTTTAGCGTTTAGGGGTTAGGGTATAGGGTTTAGTGCTTAGGGTTTAGACTTGGCCGGTCATAGTGCCCTAAACCGTCAACTAGGTTAGCCCCTTAAGCCTCTCGGGACTCTTAGCGTCTTAGCGGCCCTCTAGAAGGACTCATGTAAGGGATCCTCTGAAGGAGCTATCAGTTCTTTGAGAGGCTGAGGGCACGTCCCAAAGAGCCGAATACCCCTGAATTAAGGAATATACCTTAAGACCATAATAGTCAGGCTCCTATAATTTAAGGCATATTCCTTGATTAAGGGGGCACTCTGGGTTCATCAAAACGAGGATGTTCAAGGGCGAAGTCTTGGACCTTCAGCCCTTAACCCTGAACCAAATCTAGGCAAAGCGCTGCTTGGACATGTTGGAGCCAAAACTGAGGAGCCCAAATCTGAACCTTGAGTTCTGCCTAGACCCGAGACTTAGAATGGTACCTTGATTTGGCTTAGTTTCTGATTGTGGGATCCTAACCATAGAAAAGGTCATCCGAAAAAGATGCTACTGCCTGCTCAAGAAACCCTACTTTCCTTGTGCTTACATGATCATAGGACATAGTAGCTTAGTAGCAGGGGTAATTATTAGGGTAGCTAGACTAGCTACACTTACAATTAATTACGTATAACCCCACTCAAGGTACTTGTAACCACACTTACAAGTCCCATGAACCTCCAAGTATAAGCGCTGATTGAATTTGTCAGGCCCCTGCATTGCCTCTACCTTGAGCCAAGCACTCAAAGGCCAAAGCTCATCTGTGAGGGGAGCACGAAATATGCTCCGGCATTCGAGGGAGACTGTATCCTTGCTTCTTTGGGGCTTCGGGGTTGGGCTTTAGGGTTTTAGGTTTCAGGGCTCGAGGGTGGTACGATGCAGGGCTCAAGCCCTGAAGCCCTAAGCCTAAGACCTAAACCCGACACCCCTAAGTCCCAAAACCCTAAACCCCGAAACCCCTAAACCCCACAACCCTAAACCCCTAAACCCCTAAACCCTAAACCCCTACACCCCTAAACTCTAAACCCTAAGAGGATCGTGGGATGAGGCCAGGCTTGGGTTGCAGGGGCGTTTGCCTAACGGCGACGGGAGCAACAAATCCAGGTTGTTATGTTCAGGGTGTAGGGTTCAGGGCTTTAGGGGTTAAGGGCTTCGGGTTTAGGGGTTT